CTTCACTCTTTCGATTGGTTTGTAATTTGTCTATATTTTTGTCAAGCCTTTGATTGTCACCTGTAAGTACTGACGGCAATTCAGTCAGCTGTATGTTCTGTTTGTAAAATCCATTTATTATTTATTAATAGGTCGATGAAACCTCTAACAAGCCCTTTATTTTATAATCCGCAAAGCTTACATTAATTTAGATACATAACTAAAATATCTTATTATATTTTAAAAGCACGTATTCTCTTATTATCATGATATACTATCAATTGTATTTTATTGCCTGTAGCGTCGAAGGCAATAAGTAAGCGTTTCAATTGCATTCGAAGAATGCTGACCACCATCTTCTAATCAAACATTAAAGATTGATAACTTGGAGATGGACAATTTGATTCATCGAAACCCAATCGTCATACTCCAAGAGATGTTTACCAAAGAAACACCCACGGTTGTTACAATTTTCGTTATAAATATACACACCTGATATCGAGCGTGCGGAGTCAGATGAAACGCTGTAGAAGAAAATAATTTCAACGCCACAAGTGAAAAAAATATCGAAGTAACGTGACTGCGCCCTTTTACAATCGCCATGATTGTGTGCTTATTCATTTAGCGCTTGGTAATTAGATGATAATGTTAAAGCCTATACCTCGTGTTTTCGAATATCTTGTTCGTAATTTGCAATCACAGAGGAATAATGTCAAGACAGTGTTCTCCCAGGGGCACCTATATTACCTCACATCGAGATAAATTGGTACGATTTCAGAAATCTCGGAACATCAACGGAATTATATTGTTCTATGGAAATGCCCCAGAGACAGCTTGCTACCATGATGAGTTATTTTTCTTTTAAGAATAACCAGACAAAGCGGAATAATTGACAGATAGAAACAAAAGAAGGCAAGGGTTTGAAAATAGAAATATTATTTCATTATCATCTGAAAATGATGAAAAGTTATGAAATACATTTTTTTAATGTAAGGGTGTAATTTTTAGACACTGCATAGTTTTCAACCGTCTCCGTCAAGAAACTGAACGATACTCATTTCAGGCGACCCGTTCTTTGCCCGTTTTGTCTTTGAATGCAAACGACGTATACAAAAAAAAGTTTTGTTTCTTTTTCGCTGCGGCATATGAATGAAAGATATGTCGAGTGCAGATCAAAGTCATTAGCCTTGTTTGACAGCCGTGATAGATTGTTCGTTTTGGTGGGCTACGGGTAAGAATAACATCCATTTCCCTTCTTCAATGCTTAAATTGTAAATCCGAGCTTGGCAGCGGTTTCCCTGTGACGCTGCCATCAGAAATCTTAACCTTTCAGATTAATGAATTCGTTACCAAAAGTTTGCTCGTTCGTTAGTGTGGTTATAAAATGTATGCGTCTTGGAAAAAATAATCGGACGATAACCTTTACTCTTGAGCATTGATTAAAAACTAGCAGGTACGGAAAACAGCAATTAGCTAATAGCTGGTTAAGTTTTAAATTTGAAAACAATATAAACTATTTGGTTTACCGCTTCTTCGAGTTACACAACAGAACAATTTTCACGCATGAGTGTTATATAAAGAGGCTGATTGACCTGAATTTACAAAGGAGATTTGTCGACAAACCTAGGTTTATGTGCCTCATGTGACGCGTTTTGACCCGTTTCGGACCAAGGTTTGTCTGAACCTTGGTCTGAAACGCATCGAAACGTGTCATAATGACGCAGATATACCTAGGTTTGTCGACAAAGCTCCTTTGTAAATTCGGGCCCGCGTGTTTATGATTTCATCGTGTTGCACACGAAGCGTCGTTTCCACTGAGTTAGTAGGGACTTTTAGATTTGCACGTCGACAGCTTTGACTGCAACGTGTGACGTCATTTTAAGGCACTGCGCATGCGTTACGTCGTCTCAGTCGGCGATCGAGAATGCGTCAACCTTAATTTTCCTAAATCTAGTACATACATACATACATATTGATATTTATATAGCGCCTTTACATGCTCAAGGTACTAGTATGACGCGTGCGCATAAAATATACAGTTCCTCAGGTAGACAGAGGAACATCCCTTCCCTGCTATTATGTAAAAATGTGTAGAACAGGTGTCACATGCATATTCACCTGTTAAACACATTTTTACATAATAGCAGTGAAGGGATGTTCTTTTGTTGAGGGTAGAATGAGGAACTGTATATTTTGTCCTCTTTCTTTGTCCGTGATGTTCATAGTAATACTTCCTGCATGCATGTATATCGTCGAGTGCAATCTAAAACATTTTAAATTGTAGTAGTCAACATGTGCAATTAAGTACGTTGACACGCATGATCAGTCGGCGTTCGTCGTGTTCTCGTCCACTCAATCTAAAAGTCCCTACTAGGGACTTTTAGATTTGCATGGACTGATACGTGTGACGTCCATTCAAGGCAGTGCATTAAAAGGACGTCGATCGTAGCATTGACCTTTGTGCGAATCTAAAAGTCCATATTGATACCTGCGGAAGCCTGTTTTAAGGCATTTATTGCAAACGCCAATAACTTAAAGCATTGCATTGCACCGTCATTTCACATTCAATTTGCGTGCGATATCACTCGTGCATGACGTGTCAAAGGTCGCGCTAGTCTGACGCAGTCTTACGTCAGATGAATGCTGCCTCGTGTGTGGCAGCTAGACACACCTTCCTCTTCATCCATGCTTCTTACGGGTGTGCGTGCTTAGCTCTTAATTAGTAGCACTTATTAATTCGATACGGACTACAACCCGAACGGATTATTACCCCAAGGATAACGACATGGACAACCGCGTGATGGCCAATTTCCCCAAAGACAAGCTAATCCGGTCAAATAACCCCTAAAACAACTACACTACAACATCTGCCCCCGCATAACTATACCCCTGGAAACCTACACCCCAGGAAAGCTATCCGCAAAGAAAATGGCCCCAATCGACAACCAACCTCTTGAAAATGAACCCACTGACCACTGACCATGTATGTGCCCCCCCCCCCTCCCCCCAAACATCGAACTCTGGCTACGTGCCTGCTCCCAAGGGGTATTCAGATGAGGGAGAAATTGTCTGAGGGTAATCATCCACGGAAAATGTTGTTATACCATCTTATACCAAGCTCGGAATAAAAACACGTCATCATGCTTTGGCGTTATAGTAACCTTGGTAACAACACTCGTTTTGTTAGTGCATCAGAGTCCATATTACATGAAATTCATCACAGTTGATAAAGGTTCATTAACGTTTAACCGCTTTTGATTAAGATTAACAAGATTAACCATCAATCGTTTCTTGTTATTAATGCTGCTGGCTGCGTTTTGCTATTTGAAGGGATTGAAATAATGAGAATAAAATCGGACGTCAAACTGCAAAACATGAAGTTAATCTCATCCTTTCTATTTATGAAATAGGTCAAATTATTCATTGCCACGTCATTATCCACTATGAGACATAACGTAGTTGAAACCGTACTTTAAATTTATTTCATAAAGCATGTTAGGCTTAAAATACTTCGAGGTCACAATATACTACTATGTTATGTCCTCTTGCTGTACAATTTACAGGTAAACGTACTTAATCATTATAGAATACAGTAACAGTATACTAATAAAAGCGCTCAAAATATTTATTGGACGAGTGAGACTCTTTATTGCAGTGCAGTATAAAGGAGATACCACAAAGCCGACCCTTAAAACCCATATACCTTACCGAATTTCAGCTGCTATCCGTGAAGAAGTCAAAGGATATATTTCGCAAGGATAAATGCACATACGTTTATTTAACAGTTTTTTTCTTCTCGAATTGAATCTACGTATCTCTTGCCTTAAGAAAAAAAAAGAATCTTGTATCGTATCTCCGATGGTCCCGCATATGCACTTCAATGGTTTCTCATTTTTCACAATAGAAAGTACGTCATTCGAATTCTCTGTCTACCATTCATATCTTGTCATGACGTGTTGATCAAGTCTGACACTCGGGACAGAAATATTGATTCATGATATTCAATAATTATTATCATTTGTTCATCTTTTATTAATATATATATATATATATATATATAGGACAAAAAAATTCAATTTGGATAATCCTCCCTCAGGGTAATGTACCAATGATATTTTTTTTAAATGACATAAAATCAAAGAATTTTTATTTCAATTGTTTTAATCATTATTTATACATATATATATATATATATATCCTTCTGCAAAAAGAAAATAAGTCCAGGTTACAATGAAACATTGTTGAAACAAATTACAATTATTAATACGGATCTTGTAATCTAGACATGTTCGGGGAACATATACGTGAGGCACGTGCTTCCTGTAGAATCGCCATAGAGTTTATAGAGATGGATGTAATAATGCTCTTCCATAGATTGATTGAAACTTCATAATATCACCCCTTTGATTTTCCTGGAATTTCAGTCTAATATCAGCAGATGAAATGTCACAATACATGTATATACATTTATGTCATTTAAAATTGCTTTTAAAGACCACGACCTCGTCTTATAAAGACTTGCTGTGGATCCGTAATCAATCGCAAGTTTGCATTCCCCTATCTCATATGTACATAGTTTTGATTGTGATCAATCGCAAATAAGTTGCGATCAATCGCAACTGTATATACGACCGGGCCCAGTTTTGTAGACTTATGATTGATATACAGCACAGGAAGCTTTTTTGCTATTTTTGCTTTTAGACATGTATTAGTCCACTGAGTGATAGATATGAATCTAATTATTCTACATACACAGTTCTGTGTGTAATTCTGTAGTGAGAATGAATGAACTTGTCACACGAAATGAAAGAATAATCCATTTAATGACAGATTTTTCGAAGATTTAAACAATTACAGATTAATTGGAATTTATACGAGATAAATGGGTTGGCGCTGTATAAATAATCGGATGAACGGAGCCCATTGCGTCCGGGTTTTACCTCGACCTACTTTTGGGGCGTTTCCAAAAAAGATTTTCTCATGAATTTATCCCCCTTTGCATCCATTGTTATCTCTTGTAGCACTGAATGCCAAGCCGACACCTGTGGAATCCGGATCCGACGAACTGCCCAATGAACTCATGATACCCGTTATTGGAACCGATCGGATATTATGCAAGCATATCGCGGCTGGTGGTCTCTACAAATGCATTTCCTACAGGACGCCCAAAAGGTATTATACTTCAGACCATCATATTGAGAAATTCCCCCCCCCCCCCGAAAAAAAAAAAAATTACAATTAAGTAAGAAATATCAAATACAATTCAGGGATACTAAAAGTTAAGTGATTATGGCTTCCGACAAAGCTTGCAAGGCAAACATTACTTCTTCGTTCTCGAAAGAATTAGCACCCGGCGGATGTAAGACAAACGTTAACAATTCGAACATAATGATTAAGATATTTTATTGAAGACGAAAGTACGCTTCATAACATCCAAAAGTTATCCTACCCCCCCCCTCCATTTTAATGACAGTAACTGTTGCATATTAATGACTGCAAAGCGACAAAATATTTTCTTCTCATTAAAAAGAATATTCGAGGTTACAAGGGGACAAGGTCTTTCGGGAATAATCTTCATGATAATATTACAAAACAGAGGATATTGGTTGCTTAATCACGGTAAAAATGAAATCATGAAGAGACTGTAGTTGGAAACCACATGAATATTGATCATACCCTGAAAAATCGAATAATATGGTACACAGTAGCCCTACCAAAATATTCAGTAATATTTGAAACACAAAGTCTTTCTTGAGTTCGTACTATAAACTTCACTGTATCTTTATTTAGCCTGTTGATACTGAATTGTCTAACACTGTCTGAGAAAATGAGAACCTTTCCTGATTGTACAAGACATCTTAGGGGAATGAAATGACGTGATAAAATACAGATTGCACGCTTCACCCTACTCCGTTATCCACACATCGGTCTGCACATAAATTAGCTTAGTGCAACCTGAAATTAACATAAAATATAAGTTTATAATTATCAGTCTTCTTTCAAATAATCATATTTAGGAAATAGATCCTTCTTGCGTTCAAAGGGTGTTGTTTTTCCTTCATTCTTTTCGCAAAAATACCATATTTATTTCATACTTCTCAAATATTATCCTTTGACCATTAAATTTCGCTACTTGACACTTCAAATTTAAATCGACTTTCGAATTATGTGGATTAAAAGTATCGCTAGATCTTCATTTTGCCCCTTTAAACCCTCCTATTTTGCTCCATATACATGTTCATATTTATTCCACAATAATTCAATCCAAGTCCCAATTTTAATTGAATTAAGTTTAAAACTGTATTGATTTAAGTTTAAAACTGTATTGATTCAAGTTTAACATGGTATTGATATAAGTTTAACATTGTTTTGATTTCTTTACTCTTTTTTCTTTTGGCAGCGATTCTGTGTATGACATGGAGCAATGAAACCCAACAGACAAATAGCGGAGCATCTCATTGACCCTATGAGGACCACAGACAGATATACCATGTATGGAATCAATGGCTCTCTGAATTTGAGTGGCAACCAGAGGGTTAAACGATGTCTTCAACAATCATCTCCTCCTATACCCTTCTCTTCATCCTTCTTTTCCTCTAAGGCTTCATCATCATCGTCATGATAAGGAAAAAAAAAACCTAACTCTCACCATTTCTGAAAATTTTGTTACATGAGAAGCAGTAACGGAATCTTAAACTTAATGCTGGTATCACATTCGAAATAACGTGATGAAGTCCGGGTGCGGTTTCTTTTATTTAGAGGTGGTGTGTCCTTTTATGTAGGCATACGATCTATTGAAAGCTGTCTTCTCATACTGATATATGCCCATATGAAAGCGCTTCTCTTAAATTCTTTCTCTTTTGGTGAAATTCAATTGTATTTACGATTATATTACGAATTACAATATTGTAAAGTCGACCATCATTTCTTGCGCACACATTAGGAAATTGAAATAAGTTCTTCTATTTATTGTTAATGAATACTTATGATAAAAATCGAAACATCACAAAACGGATACACCAGAAACTCCAGTGGGAGGGAATTATTATTTGTTATTGATTTAATATAGTATCGAAGCGCTACTTTGGGCAACTTATGCAATAATTGAAGACTATTCATTCTTTGAAATTATGAACCTGTATATACAAAAAGTAACTTGTAGTTGCTTCATAAAATCATTTATCAAATTCTATATCCATGCTATTTTCAATAACAAAAAATATCCAAAAACACTTTACTTTATATAAAGTGGATAAGGTAGTTAGGGAAAAGAACATATAATATCTGCATTATTACTTAGCATATTAAATGAAACATGATTGTTTACATAATTATAAAGCCAGTTGTTTGGTATTTGTCCGCTCTACATAGTCATCAAAGAGAAATTTTAAAAGAGTGACACATAATAGAGATTATGCCTCTTTCGTGTTTATGAAGGCAACTTTTTTTTTTCGAGGTTTACATGTTTTCTTTTCCATTTTATCTTGATTCGATAAAACTTTAAATGCTTGACTTGTGTGGATGAAAATGTACGAGAATATGTGCGCTAGCATGTTTGTACAGCCCTTGATCAAGACTTGTGTCAGCCGTCCTCGATTAGATGGTAGAAAAGAACACACACTGCGAAAGATTAAATAAAAAAACTTTAACTTCAAATATCCACAGATTTGTCTATGATTTATTTAAAATCTCTTACAGTAGTATTAATCAGTGATTTTTATTTTATTGGGCACAATTACAACCCGATGACCTTGCGGATAATATTTTAATCCTACTTTATTATGATCAAAAGTATTTTTAATATTGTATTTTGATTGCTAATTCATTGCTGTATTATCGTTCAAATATTTTGATGTTTGATCGAGTTTCGTACAGTTTAAAAACACAAAGAATTATTCTGAAATCCTAGAAATGTGAATAACTATTTATTTCTTGAAATTTATTACTTGCTGATCTTGATAACATAAAATAAGGATTAGGTCGTTTGGGAAAAAGAAAAAGTTGGCCTACTACGAATGTTTTCATGTACATGAAAGTCTGCGATACAAATAATGTTGGATGATGCCGCTCCAAAATATCTATAATGAGTAGGTAATTAATTCAATGGTATGATGGATTTGTGAATGTAAATGCTGTTAGTGTATAGTATATTCTGTCCATTTTATCATGAGAACAATTTAAATCTCCATGTAATCATGCAAAAATATAAATGAGTTAATCTAAAATAATAGACGAAATATAGAATAGCTTACAAGTAGTCACAGTTTAGAGTACAGTAGAAAATGTTGGTACAGTTGCGACAGTGAAGACGCTTATTTTTTCTTTTTCTTATTACTGTCGAAACTACGCATTATCTTCATCCGTCATAAAATTGTAATAGGAACATTGTTGTAAATATTACGCTGAAGACAACCAACGAAAAGATGTAATATTCTCTGTATTTGCATACGTCGTCTCGTAACAACCTTTGATTTCCGCTTAATCTATCAGTGAGAGCCCTTTCTTTAAAGACAATCTATGTAACTACTGATTTATTCGTACTTAAGCACCCATTTTATCAAATATGTAATTATACGACGTGCTCTTGTTGGATTAAATTTAGAATCATATCCACTTACATAAATCTTATTTTTCAACAAGAGTGCGTATTTGTAATCAGCAACAAGTTGAACAAAAATGAGAGAGAAAAAGCAATGGTATTAATAGAAGTCTGAAATTCTTCTTTTTCTCAGTGAAATTATCTTGGGGGAGGTAAAGTTAAGTAGTACTTCTAAATAACATAAACTTATTAATATACCTAATATAAATAACCCGTAAAATTGGCCATTTAGAAAATTCAATTTGCATTTATGTTTTTTTCATGGTCTTGGTAATAGACCTTACTGTACGTACGAAATGTATTTCTTATTTCGCCTGTAATAAAAACAGCTTTGTGATACGATCCATTGTCATGTTTAAGTATTACATAAAGCATTGATCATGTTATGTTTCTACTCCATAAGACATGAGACAAAGATAATTTCTCTTAGCCTTATAAATAGCTTCCTGTTAATGATCTACATATCGACAACAACTTTTGAGAGACTCTTTTTATTTCCAAAATTCATTCAAATAAACTATACATTGGCTTAACGAAATTGCGATTCGTTTCTGTCTTTATTTTTTCGACCATTCATTAGGAGACATACAATTACCCCATAAAACTATTCTTTCATTTCATCCCCTCTTTCCCAAGTGACATTTATCCAAGATGTTTGTCGACTTTTACACGAAATGTATTAATAATCTCACCATAACAACAAAGTATTCTTTGTAAAGTACAGGTCGTATCATTATTGACCTCAAGTAACGACATCATTTCATACACTCGAGATTCATAGAACATTAATTCATAGAACTTTCCGAATCAGTTACACGGAGCCTAGTTCTACACTTTAAAACAAATAGTATGGAATTACAGCGAGGGTAAATCAAGGTACAACAGGCGTGATAAAGGAAAAAGTTGGGAGAAAAAATATAAGGAAATTCAAGGGAGAGAGAGAGACAGACAGAGAGAGAGACAGAGATACAGAGATACTGAGAGAGAGAGAGAGAGAGAGAGAGAGACACACACACACACACACACAAACACACACACAAACAGTGGGAGAGGGGTAGAGAAGATGATGTATCGGGAGGCAGAGAGACAGAGGAAGAGGAGAGGGAAAGAGACAGAGAGAAGGGGAGGAGAGATGGGGCCTAGTAATGGAGAGAACGAGAGAGCCAGGGTGGATTAAAGAGTAAAAGTCAGCATGGGAAGAGAGAATGGGAAGAGAGAGAGAGAGAGAAAGGAGACAGAAGAGTAGATAGAGAATGAAAGGCGGAACACTGCAATGATTCAAACGACAATATACATGACTCGTGATGAGTACAATAATGTTTGACATTTCTAGAAGTGCATGAACTCTGAGTAGACATTGTAGTCTAGCGACGATCTTTGTGAGATACCTTCTAAAAAAACGAAACAACATGATCATAATGACAGCCTCAATAGTCTGATAAGGCGGTATTTACCTCTCCAAGTTGACTCAGGGTAACATGATCAATATACTGCTGCAACATCGCAGACACAGTGACACTTTTACATACTGTCTGGCATAGATTATAGATTCATACATTTGAATTCATAAGTAGATTTGCACAAAGGAGATCATATTAGACAGAACTCTAACAGAGCTTTTTCCCTTGTTAAACATGACTTGGTCCCCGCGTCGGCTTCACTTGAATTAGTAAAATACGGGCTCTCGATCTAACTGCAAATACAGGGAAAAGAAAAGAATAATAATATAATAATATTGGATATTAATAGCGCACATATCCACCATGTATGGTGCTCAAGGCGCTCCGACTATTACCCCGGCGTCATTTTTTTCTGCGGCACAGATTGGGGCTTTTTTTTAAAAAAGAGGTCTTGATTTAACCCTAACCCTAACCCTAAACTTTCCCATAGGCTCAACACGCACCTAACCCCAATCTGTGCCGCAGAAAAAAATAACGCACCCCGGCCGGCTCTGCTAGGCGGCCGATTTCGGCGCTCTCAGCATTCAAGGAATTCCTTCATACCGGTACCCATTTAACACCTGGGTGGAGAGTGGCAAATGTAGATCAATATCTTGCCAAAGGACATTAGTGCCGTGGCGGGACTCGAACCGCGGACCCTGCGATCCACAGTTCAACGACTTATCTACCAGACTACAAGAACAAACCGAGTGGCGAGCACTATTGTTAACAACGACAAATAAGTGAGAAATTGCAATTGAATTTATGAATTTGTGAATCACAAACATTTTTCCACATAGGGGAACATGTACACCCAGAAATTATCATTCAGTCACATCGGAAGTTGGCCCATGCCGACAAGGCGACGCGATGATTTTCCTCGGAAATATAATTAGGGATACCATAATATATGTAGGCAGCAACTGAGCTGCACCTCGTTTTGTTGAAATTAGCTTTCATACACTCGAGTTTCATAGAACATTATTTCATAGAACTTTCCAAATCAGTTACACGGAGCCTAGTTCTACACTTTAAAACAAATTGTATGTAATTACAGCGAGGGTAAATCAAGGTACAACAGGCGTGATAAAGGAAAAAGGTGGGAGAAAAAAATATAAGGAAATTCAAGGGAGAGAGAGAGACAGAGAGAGAGAGAGAGACACACACAAAACAGTGGGAGAGGGGTAGAGAAGAGGATGTATCGGGAGGCAGAGAGACAGAGGAAGAGGAGAGGGAAAAAACAGAGAGAAGGGGAGGAGAGATGGGGCCTAGTAATGGAGAGAATGATGGATTCTGTTTCCTTAGGCATTGCAGATGACCAAACAGAAAACTGGAACTTTGTCAGGTTTGACCATTTTAAGATATGTCCAAAAACAAAATGGCTGCCCAAATAGCCTATTTTGAGTAAAATTTGAATTAATTCATAATACATTACGAAATATTGGCAGAGTGGTGTGCTTATCATTCACGAAGACCATTGTCAACACATTCCTGATGATCATACATGAACATAGATAGACATAATTAGCATATTTTCCATTGTATTTGTTGCTAATTTGCATATTCAAAATGGCGGATGAATGCCAGCTGTTAAGCTTAGAATCATAATAAAATAGTATTTTACTCATTTCTTTCTTTCTTATGTTTCCAATCCCTAGAAGTGTACCAAATACTTATTTCATACTCATTTGTCATTAATGATTAATTTAGATAATTGGAAAAAAACAAAATGGCCACCAAAATGCTATATTTTAAGCAACATTTGCCGTAAGTATTATACATTTCGGAAATTGGCAGAGTAGTATACTGGTACTTCATTCTTGGTAATGAAATTAATAATATTGCGTGTCCAGATGTAGTGCCATGGCTACAGACCTAAAGAAGTTATATGAATTCAATTTAGAGATGACGACAAGGACGTCAATACATACATTTCTATTGCTCGACTAAAATAATTTGCATCGTGCTTTTCTCAATGACTTTGTTTGCCATATTCAAAATGATCGACAGAATTAAACTTGCCAATTCCATCAGAAAAACTGATGATTTAATGCCATTCCTGCTATTTTAACGTTTAGAATTTAGCCGGCCATGTCTAGTATAGGGGAACCGACGTCCAACTTAAGGCTGGAGGCTCGCGATTACGTTGGTCAATAGTTGCATAATATCGAAAAGATGAGCGAAAGAGAGAAGTAAAGAAGTATCAAGATTGACAAAGAACATGAGAAAAAGAAGAAGAAAGAATCAAGATGATGTTGTCCTAGCAGCCATTAGGTAAAGCATGGTACTTCTACCCAATAGGGAGCTATGACAACAGCACTAGCATTACAATGTTATATAATGTAAAAGACTAATATATATTATTAAACTACAAAATCGTGAAATATAGAGGCATTGATAATTATAAGGTATACTGCTTCGAAGGATTTTAATAAGTGAGTTTTTAACATGTTTTTTAAGGTGTGCAGGGAAGGAGCAAAATGGATATAGAGAGATACAGTGGAGTAGCTACGATGGGGTAGGGGCACGGGGAGGGGCACGGGGAGGGGCACGGCCATATTTCGGATCTGGATGATATTATTTTCAGGCAAGAGGCCCTCACGGCCCTCAGGCGAAAATGTGCCTGTACGTCTAAGTGTACGAAGGATGGAAAACAAATCTTCTTAGATGAATTTTGGATTTGGGTTACGCCGAAAATGTATATTATTGTCTTGCCATAAGACGTTAGTGCAGGGCCTGGATATAGAAACTAAGGAAACTAATCTAAAACTAACATTTATGGAGTATTACATATTCTTCCTTTTCATTATAATGACTAGATGACAAGAGTGGCGTATCCACGGCTACGCCGCTAAAGGGGGGGGGGGGGGGGGGGGGGGGTGGGATAAACATCCGATATAATTACAAATACAATCTATGTATTTCAGCAATAAAATCACTTGTTTTCCAAGCCCTCATTAGGAGGGAGACAGATGCTCATTAATAGTTTTCTCCCTAAATATGATAAGATTATGAACTATTTCAATTTATTCATATTTCGTTTTGATCGACAATAATTTTGACAATGACGTGTGTATCAATAATCTCTGACTAAGTCCCATATTTGATAGTACATGTAATTTCCAATCGTAATGGTGTTCAGTTTTTGTTAGTTTGGTTCATCTTATAAAATGATGAGCCCTTTAAGTTTCCACCCCTCCCACCTCCCCCCCCCCCCCCAAACAAACACTTTACTTTTAAAGTTGGCTTCAAAATCTGTTTTGTGAGGTCGCATGGCAAAAAAGAAGCAGAGGTCGACGTTTTCTCTGATTGGAACGAAAACATATTCCCTTCTAATTAATTCTATATATAGGGCTAACAAGACGACCCCCTAAAACTTGATTTTGGGGGAAAGTGCACCTTCAATATATGAGATTACTGATGTGGTTGCAACAAGCAACATTGTGAAAATTCGGAGGTCATTTCTTGTGAATGCCAAAACGCCACGATCATAGTGCAACTAGCGGGGAAGAAGAAGAGCACACAGCATTACGAGTGTGACCAAGCATACGTCGCAACGCATGTCTCACCAGACTGGGTCCCCTAAGGTTGCCGTCCCTATCCGCGTAGAGGTTGGCAGAGAATCGATCCTATTCGCGCGCGCCCTTTACTTTTCGGAAGTCTATACTCCGTGCTCCCAGTTGGTCGTAGCTAGATCCAATACAATCTACTGGCTGTAGGCCCACAGCCTTACAAGTCTGTGATCTTGTTGGAGACTGTACACATCGACATTTAGGGGTCCGAGTGGGACGACATCCCGTGCGGAGCACTCTTGCTTGAAGAGGGGAAAGCAAAAACAAGGGGTGAGAGAGATATAGAGTGAAAGAGATAGATAGAGAAACGGAGAAACACTACAGAGAAAGGCAGTTAACAAACATCTGAATGAATGTTGTGAAGTTTGAAAAAGAAAGTAAGAGGGAGAGAAAGAGATATATATATATATATATATATATATATATATATATATATATATATATAAAAAGAGATGGAGATGGTGAGAGAGAGAGAGAGAGAGAGAGAGAGAGAGAAAGAGAGAGCAATACGACTGAGGTGGAGAGAG